GAGAGAGAGAGAGAGAGAGAGAGAGAGAGAGAGAGAGAGAGAGAGAAAGGAAGAACAAACGTGCAGCACTGGAGGCCCAGTGAGTTTGTGGCCTGGCTGGGGCCACCACAGCAGACTGCACTGAGTGGACATGTCATTACCGGGGGACTCTCTTGGTTCACTTCCTACCTCTCGCCGCCATCCCTGTTGTCCTTCCCAGGGGCACTGCTGGCTGCCGAGGGATCTCTGGCACGTCCATCTTTCCCAGTCGGTAATTCCTGAAAAGAGAAGCGAGTGTGGGGGTTTGGAGAAGTGGCCTGCCCTGGGACTGCTCAGTCTTCCCAGTCATCTTGTCTGCAAGGGGCTTTGGAGCGCACGTTCCTAGGGAGCAATCCAAGATGCAGACATGTGAAGGACGAATGCCGCTAACTGCAGGAAACCCAAGCCCTCTTGAGACCGGCGTCTTGCCTTTGGAGAGTGGGAAAGGGCCTCTAGTCCTGACATCTGTCAGCTGCCGAAACAAATCTAGGCGAAGCCACCTCGACCATCTCCACCAAGAAAGAGGGCTGTTCCTAGTCATTCTACCAGAGCTTAGCTAGGCGCTGGCTAAGGGCTCTGCTTCCCTCATTTGACCTTGACAATGAGCTGATGCCACCAGACTCACTCCACATACAGAATCAGGCTAGATGTTCAGGGCCCTGCCCAAGACTACCCAGCTTGTGAGTGGCAGAGCCTGGATCTGAAGCCAGCACTGTGCGCCTCTAAAGCCTGTGTCCTTAACTGCTGGACCCTGCTGTCATGTGTATAACTCTGCTGACGAAAGTGAAAGGGAGCCTTCAGGGTTCAGCGTTCAACCAGGTGGAGTCCCCGAAGGCCCAGCTGCTCAGGCCACGGTGTCAACCCCCTCGGCGCCCCCAGAGACTTGCTTTCTCCTGGGCCCCTGGGTCCATCCTACTCAGGGACATGGCCCTGACATTCTTGCCTGCAGCTAAGACCACGACAGAGAACTGGGGTGGCACAAATACATGGACATCACCATGGAGAGTGCTTCAAGGCAAAGAGAAACCAGCCCTGAAAGCATCGTGGATAGAGGAAGAAAGCCATGGAAAGACAGCCCCACCTTTCCCTGGAAGGCAGACTCCATCACATGGAAGCTGAGCTGGCTGCGCCAGAGGCACAGGTCAGCAGAGGGGACAGCTGGGGAGGGGCAGGGTCAAACCCTACTGTAGTGGTGACCCCTCAGTGTTCCATGACTTGCTAATGCCAGGAGCAGGGCCTGCCTTGTATGAACATCAGGATCCTGCTGGAAGACCACCTTGACAGGAGCGACCAAGATCCTAATGGGTGGGGCCCTCCCCTCAGAGTTGATCTTGGGAGCCTTTTGGGTCCTCGCGGCCTTCCCTGAGGAACTTGTCCTGTTCAGGCTTCTGGGAGAGGTATTTTTAAAGCTTTTGAATTTGCTTGTTTTTGCCGAAGCAAAACTTGGAAAGCTGATTGCTCAACTGAACTGCTGTACCTCGACTGTCAGGAGCTGGACAACAATGTGGCCAGGGTGACCATGTCGGGAAATTCCACTCACTCAGGAAGGAGGTGTGCACAGCCACGGCAGGGGCTACCTGCCAGGCTCACTCTGCTTCCTTGGGGGCAAGGAATGGTGGAGCATGCTAGGGGAAAGAGACAGGGGCCTGAAAGGCCAGGCTGGTAGAGTCCCTCCCTCCGGGTGAGGGATGGAAGATGGAGCTCAATGCTAGAAGAGATAGAAGTCCCAAAGACAGCAACTGGATATGCAGCCAGGGCCCGCATGCCACGCTGCTCCCGGAGACTCTAGAAGACCCGTTTGGCCAGACTGAGGAGTGCCATACACACTGAAGCAGGAGCAGAGGGAAGACCTCTGCCTGAAAGCCACAGCCTCTCCCATGGAGCAGAGCTCGCTATGCAAGCCCGCGGGGACTGGGGCTGCTGGTGACCAGGAGGGGCCTGGCCAGACAGAAGCAGGTGTGGGGCAAGCAGCCTCGGGAGGCCAGGCCAACCCCTGCCAGGCCAGGCCACATGCAGGAGCAGGAGTGCAGAGGCCACCCGAGGTTACTTACTCCTCGAGGGGGAGCCGGCTCCGTGCCGCTCTGGCTGGAGGAGTACAGATTGACGTATTCACCCTCCCCAGCCTCCTCGCTGGTGGTTCCACTCTGGGGGAGACAGGATGAGAGGAAAGACACGTGGGCCAGGCCCTTTGGCCAGCCCTCCCAGCTTAGGGGGGGCAGTCAGCTGGGGTGGCTCTGACCAGGAAACTACTTTCTTAAGACAGTGCCAGCCTGTGCTCTGTGTTCCCCAGGGTCAGAGGACAGAGCCCCCTTGGCCATCCCCTGCCTCTACGGTAGTGCTTCCTGCCGGGTCTTCTCCAAAGGGGTCCAGGACCGCTCAAAATGTCCTGGAAAGATGGCCCCACCATAGTGGGGACTGCAGGGGTAAGCCAGGCATGGTAGGACACTATGGAGACAACTTTCTGTGCTGCAGAGCAACCTGTGAGGCAGCACTTCCAGGGTTTGGAGGAAACACTAGAAGCATCCGATGGGGCAGAAACCCAGGCCCCCACCCCTGGCTCCACATGTGACGGGACACACAACTGCTTGGAGCTCTGTCACTTCACAAAGGTATCTGTGCCTTTCTCTAAAGACAAAACCAAAGGTATCTGTGCCTTTCTCTAAAGACAAAACCAAACAGAAAGCAAGGAGTGTTTTCTTTCTTTTCTTTTTGAGTCAGAGTCTCACTCTGTTGTCCAGGCTGGAGGGCAGTGGCACCATCATGGCTTACTGTAGCCTCCACCTCCTGGGTTCTGCCATTCCTTCCATCTCAGCCTCCCAAGTAGCTGGGACTACAGACCCTTGTCACTAGGCCTGGCTAATTTGGTTTTTTTTTGTAGAGATGAGGTCTCACTGTGTTGCTTGCCTAGGCTGTTCTTGAACTCCCGGGCTCAAGCGATCCTCTCGCTTCAGCCTCCCAAAGTGCTGGAATTACAGGTGTGAGACAGCATATCCGGCCAAGTGTTTTCTACCTTATGCTTATGATAATTTCCTGTCTCCCAATGGTCACTAATCCATTTGTAGAAAATCAGATTCCTAGTCTGAGAAAACTGCATAAAAGATTCAATTTTGTTCTGCAGATGCGGGGCTGCCATGGTGCCACGTGACCTTCTGTAGCTGTTGGTCTCACCATGCTTCCAATGGGCACATGCTGAGGCAGCCTTCCTGCTAGTGAAGGGAGGATAGTGTCTTTCAGGAACAGTGACACTGCTTTCTAAAGAGTGTGCCACCCCATGTGCAGATGTGTGCATGCTGAGTTCTCACCGAGTCAGTGAAAGAGGTTTCAGAAGGAAGGCAGACAGTATTCCCATGAAAGCTGCTCTCCTGAGAAGATGAGAGAGGCCCGTCCACGGTGCTGGGAGGTGGGCTGGCCACGGTGGGCTCCGCTAAGTCGGAGCTCTGAGACTGGTAGACAGGTGGGAAATGTGGAGAGGAAGAGGAGGTAGGCGGAAGGAAAGGTGGAACGGAAGCTTGGTGGTGAGGCACGAAGTCCTGGGAGTAGGACCTAAACACAGACTTGTACTACAAAAGCAAGGTAGAAGACACAACAAAACGAGGATGTGGGAGGGAAAAAACAGACAAGAGAAAAAGCCATTAGATTCAAAGCAGCTGAGACAGGCTGTTCACAGCAACTCTAGCAGGGACCACTGATCATGTCAAGCCAGCCCCCCATCCTCTGGCCGCCGCACTCCCCCACACCCAGCGTGGCCTCCCTTGAGAAGGGCCTCGAGACTGGAGACTGACCAGCACTGTCCTCAGAGTTGTCTAAAGAGCAGGACGCGGAGCACAGCTCCCCATGCCCCAAAGGGGAGCAAATCCCATGCACTGCTCGAGTGGCCACATGCTCCACTGGAACAGAAAATCACACCGGCAGAGCCCAGTTACTGCCCTCCTGTCATTCGAGGAGCCTCATGGCTACCTTCGACATCAGTGTTGCATTTACTCATTCGGTATCCCTTCAGAGTCATACACCACAACCTTTTAACATTGGAATCCACCTCAAATCCCTTAGGAAGGGAAGGACACAAGTCTTAAGAATGGTTTAGAAAAGGCTGGGTGTGGTAGCTCATGCCTGGAATCCCAGCACTTTGTGAGGCTGAGGTGGGAGGATTGCTTGAGTTCAGGAGTTTGAGACCAGCCTGGGCAATACAGCGAGATCTCAAATCTACCATTAAAAAAAAAAAATAGCTGGGCATGGTGGCATGTGCCTATAATCCCAGATACTCAAGAGGCTAAGATGGGAGGATCGCCTGAACCTAGGAGGTCAAGGTCTTGGTAAGTGGTGATCATGCCACTGCACTCCAGCCTGAGCAACAGAGTGAGACCCTGACTCAAAAAGATTTTTAAAAAATGGTTAGAAAAATTGTGCTATTGGGCCCGGTGTGGTGACTCAAGCCTGTAATCCTAGCACTTTGGGAGCATGTTACTGCATCCAGCCTGGGCAACAGAGTGAGACTCCAACTCAAAAAAGAAAAATTGTGCTATCAAATGCTAAAAATTTCTATGCATTAGTTTCCCTTACTACTCAATCTTATTTCTTTCCTTCTTTTTTTAACAAATGAAGCGATCTTACAACACCTCCGATCCTACCTTGGAGCCACAAAGCTACACTCGCCCAAATTTGGATCCGAGAGAAAAGTCTGATCCCACACAGAAATGACAGCAGACGCCTATGGCTTCTTCCATCCAATGAGCACCCCCAAGCCAGGGCTCTCCTGCTAGAGGAGGGACAGAGGAGTTCTAGGATCACAGGTTAGCGGCCATCAGTTGAGAGCCTGACCATGTCATCGTGCCCTGCAAAGGCCTACCACCACACTGCTACTGTCCTGGGGAGCTGGGAGAACGTCGTTGGGGAGGCCATGTCCAGAGTTCTTGCAGGGCTCACTTGCCCACTACAGAGGCCAGGACTTGAGGAAAGCCAAACACAACACAAATGTGCATGTTGCTCATGCAAATGTTCTCTGCATTTGCCATGGTACAGGATTTTCAGAAGCCATGGAAATAAAGAAAAAGAGGAAGAATAAAATGAAGTTTCGAACTAACAGGAGGCCAAAGCTACTCACATCCTTAAGCAGTTTTGCAAAGCTATCCTCTAACCTGGACAAAGAGCTGCTACAACCCAAGGGACAAGACCACCCTCCTTGGTCCGCTGTGTGGATGGCTGCAGCTCCTCCCTGGCTGCAAAGACCAGAGTTTAAGGCTCCTCCTCCAACCTCATGAGACTGACCTCTCCTGCTCCTGTGAGCTCCAGTGGCTGCTGGTTGACATCAGACCCACCACGCCTATCTCAGGCTCTGATTTCTCACATGTTTATTTCCCCAGCTAACTCACAAACCCAAGGCCCACCCTTGACCTTGGTGAAATGAATCCCTGAAAGTGCCATACACATGGCCATCTAACACTGGACACTCAGGTACCTGCCACAAGTGACATTCCATTCATGTACTCCTTTCTAGAGGCTGGGGCCAAATGCCCTGCTCAGAAAACCTGGGCTTTTCTTAACCCCCTAACTGTAGGTACCCAAGACAGAGCGGCAGGCCGGAGTACTCAGCTACGCTGGCTGGCGGGGAATGAATGGCTTGACTTCCTGGGCTCTCCACTCCTTCGAGGATGCTTGCCTGGAGTGATGCTCTCGCAGGCTGGGCAGGTCCACAGGGAAGACAGCGAGGGGAGTGTGTGCGTTCGCATGGGGCTGGAGGCTGCTTTGAGAGCACCCCCACGTGACTGTTTCAGACAGTGGCTTTAGTCTTCTGCAGGAGCACAAATCTCAGAGGTGTTGATGCTCACTGCCAATGTCCTGGTGCTGCCACGACATTAGCTAACAGACAACTGTAGCCTTGCCTTCAAATCCACCTACCTGTTGCTACCTAGGCAAAGATTTGCGTTCCACACCACCTCTTTCTGGAATCTTGCCACCTTCTTCACTGATCCCCCACAAAAGCTCATCTGGTACCTGATTTATACGGACACAAATGGCTTTTGTGTGATCCCAAAATGTACCAAGTTTGAGAAGCATTCTTAACTGATCATACAGCGTGTTTAGCAGGATTTCTTTTTTTTGAGATAGGGTCTCACTCTGTCACCCAGGATGGAGGATAGTGCTGTGATCATGCTCACTGCAGTCTTGAACTCCTGGGCTCAAGTTATGCCTCAGCCTCCTAAATAGCTGGGACTATAAGTGTGTGTCACCACATCCAGCTAATTTTTTATTTTTTGTTGAGACAGGTTCTTGCTATGTTGCCCAGGCTGGTCTTGATCTCCTGGCCTCAAGCAATCCTGTCTCAGCCTCCCAGAGTGCTGGGATTACAGCCATGAGCCACAGCGCCTGGTCTTAACAGGTTCCAATCTTACAAACTCAGGGGGCGGACTCTATACCACAGTGCCTCTTCTGGGTAGCTGCTGAGTGTACATTCTTGAGTTACTAGACATGGGCTTGGCTCCTGTAGCGCCTCTATCTTTGTGACCTAGGGCAAGAGCTTCCGGCTTGCCATCTTTCCCACAGGGATGGAAGTGACAGCACTTACTGCACAGAGTTTCTGTGGGTGCTCGAGGTGTTGAGTACTGCACACAAGGCCTCAGCACAGGGCCGGAGGGGCGGGCTCTCAGCCAACGCCAGCCGTGCTCTCTGCCCTCCAAAACACCAATCCAGGAACACTCTAAACAACACAGTCACACATCGGATCCATATTTGCTGAGTCTATTATGTGCCTGAGATACTGCCTGACTCATACATAGCAGCATCCCAGCTTGGAGCGTGAAAGGGGTGAGAGACAGGCTTCACCCATGCTGTGGGTTCAGGTCCAGAGACTGGGGAAGGGGGCTTGGGGATGCCATCAGGTGTATGGACTGCTAAGGGGAGGGGGCAGCCACGGAGGAAACAGGAAGGAGAGCCGGCATCTCTTGGACAAAGGGGCCTGGCCCGCCCACCCTTCCCTCCCTCTGCAGGTCAGAGCTGGGCTCTGGTATTCAAGCTATGCGGTCATGCTGGGACAAGAGCCAAGCGTGAAAAGTATCTTCCAGGGGGCGGGGAGATGCAAGGGACCAAGATTTTTGTGCCCCTTGGGGCTCTGCAGATGTTGGAGCTGCATCAGAGCTCATGATCATGCCACTTTCCCCAAGTCCAGGCCTCTAATGATTCCCCAGAGCCATACTGTCAGCCCTTTAAGGGCATACGTCCCCAATAGGGGCAGGGAGACAGGCAGGCTGGGCCATGCCACAGAAACGCCGCCTCGCCACAGCCTGGGGTTTATTTTAGGATCTGGCTGGTGCGGGGCTCTGCTTCTGACGAGCTGCTGCTCTCCGCGCACCAGAAACTTTTATTTATAGCCTGCATTAGACTGTTTGGGCTGAGCATTTCAGAACATGAAGGGCTGCCTGTCTGAGACCTGCAAACTTCTGTAGAAGACCCAGGGATGCCAGCGCAAGTGGGCTGTTAGGAGAGGGGTGTCTGGCCTCCCATGTCAGCCCTGGTCAATCAGTCAAAATGCCAGGACTCTGTCATGAGAATGAGAAAGAAGACAACTTCCTGCAGGGCAGATGGGGTGTTAAGGGTTTTGCATGGATCATCTGAGTCTCCACCAAGTGCCCTTATGATCCTTCTTGTAACGATGAAGACAGGCTGGGATGGTTGACCGCGTAATAAGAGGGTGTAGGACTGGCCTGTGTCACACTTGGGCCGTGTGCTCTGAAGTACTGAGGCATACTCTGGGCATGTGGCAGGTCCTCCCCATGCCAACCCACAGCTCTCAGGATACAGCAGCCTCCTCAGCAGAGTGTTTTGTGGTGCCGGGCATGCCGTGAACAGCGAGCGGAGGCTCAACGTATAAGCTGGGATGCAGAAAGCAGGCATGGACCAGAGCATCTTAGGGCAGGAAGAAAAAGATGGAATCGGTAATGGCTCGACTGGAAACACACACCTGACGGGACCACTGAGTCTTTGGAGTCTAGACGACCTTATGTGTTGGCTTGTGATCAATTCATTAAAGGGCAAAGCTACCTGAAGCTGGTTAGGCCCTGAAAATAGGAGATCTTTTTTTTTTTTTGAGTCAGAGTCTCACACTGTCACCCAGGCAGGAATGTAGTGGCACACTCCTGGCTCACTGCAGCCTCGACCTCCTGGACTCAGGCATTCTCTCATCTCAGTCTCCCAAGTAGCTAGGACTACAGGTGGATACTACCACACCCAGCTAATTTTTTGTAGAGATAAGGCCTCATTATGTTGCCCAGGCTGGTTTTGAACTCCTGGCAATTCTCCTGCCTCAGTCTCCCAGAGCGCAGGGATTAGGACCACTGCACTTGGCCAGCTTTACTGGATTTGCTATAGCAGCTTGCCTACCCTGTCTAATGCAAAGTACAACTTTCTTTTTTTTTTTTTTGAGTCAGAGTCTCACTCTGTCATACAGGCTAGAGTGCAGTGGCACAAACATGGCTACTTCAGGCAATCCTTCTGTCTCAGTCTTCCAAGTAGCTGGAACTACAGGTATGCACCACTACACCAGGTTAATATTTTGATTTATTGTAGA